TTGTGTCAATACTTACGGTCTAGAATGAATGCCAAAAAGGTGTACCCTTAAAGTGTCGATACATTTATTAAAAAGTATCGATCCCTAAAACATCGAAACCCATAAGTATAATGTTCAATGAAACCGGTATAATTATACGGTTATGAGAGAATAGGTCTAAATCATGTTGACACTTTTTAGTTTGTGTCGATTTTTGTCCAGAATGAAATATTAAAACCAACGAGGTGCAGCATAAAGTGTCGATACTTACTGTCTAGAATGAATGCCAAAAAAGGTGTACCCTTAAAAAGTGTCGATACATTTATTAAAAAATATCGATCCCTAAAACATCGAAACCCATAAGTATAATGTATAGGTAAATGGTCAATGAAACCGGTAATTATACCGGTTTTATGAGAAATAGGTTTAAATCATGTATCGACATTTTTTAGTTGTGTCGATATTTTTGTCCAAAATGAAATATTAATGCCCAACGAGGTGCAAGCATAAAGTGTCGATACTTTTTAAAAAGTTTCGACACTTTATGAAATATCGAAACCGATAATATAATGTAATAGGTAAATTTGCAATGTTACCGGTATAAATATACCGATTTACTTATAAAATAGGTTCAATATAAACGCTACCTATACCATTAATAAGCGCTACCTAATATGTTATGTACTTGATAATATTTCCCGTTAAATACCTATTTTATTATATAAGCGCTATCTATTACATTATATAAGCGTTACCTAATATGATATTGTACTTGATAATATTTCCGGTTAAATAATATAATATAACCGGTCTAAATTTTAACCGGTCACTTGTTTAATCGGTCACGCCGTATATTAGCCATTTTTTAGGCGCCGTACCGCAGAACTACCCGTGTATCTTCCAATGCTATAATAAAAAAATATGATAGACCTTTAAAATTAATCAAGAGAGTAGAAAGGGAAATGTTCCAATATTTAGAATGATCGAAAATGAATCTCTCGATCTTATTTGGAGGTTTAGTTTCGGTATTTATAAACAAGTGAACATTCTCTATCTATCTTAAAGAATCTGTAATCCTATTAATGAAAATTTGTTTGTTGCATAAATTTAGGTAAATAAATATCATGAATAAGATATTCTTTGTTTCCTTCTAGGGTATTATCACTCTACCTCATATTAAGTGGTGATTCCCTTTTAGTTCTAAACGTTGGAACGTCAATTAAAATTTTCAATGAAGAAATTAGTGATTGATCAATTTAATTGGGAATGAAAGAGATGTCATTCTTCCTTATACAAGGTGGTTAACTTTCTCGATTAAATGTTTGAATTGTTAATCTTTTCTCTTGGATTTTAAATATCATGATATTTATTTAACTAATTAGGGATCATTGATTAAATTAAGTCTGGATCCATAAGTTCTATTGCAAAGACAATAATTAATTGACTAGCTATCGATTTTCGGGCGTTGTGAGGTGTTAATCATTTCCGGCACATAATCGACTCCCGAACTCATTTTTTAGAAAAGCAGAACAAAAAGTTATTTTAATAAATTTTAAAATTAAGATTTTATTAAAATAACAAAACACTTTTGGGGTGATTAAATTACACCCTAAACAAAGATTAGTGACAACTCCCTCGAACCATCATGATTTTTAGTCGAAATGAATCCCTTTATTTTTCGGAATGTTGCGACACAAACCTCCTTATTTACCCTGAAAGATGATCCTATTCTATCTTTTCAAATGTTGAAGTAACTATGATGATCTCTCTCTTGATTTTTATCTCCATGAAACAAGCACAACATTTGGAAACTGACGATTTCTTTCCCATCCTTTTTCCTGATGCAGGCTGTTGAGCTTAGAAAGTTTGATATAGGCTTTCAAATAGGTTGGAAACAGGTGTACAAAAACTTAGATGTAGGGTGAACTACTGTAATACCTTAAATTTTATCTAGTTATTAAAATGTAAATTTTGAAAGTTTAGTAATTAAAATAAACTTTAAAAAATTTAGAGGTCGAAAATGTAATTTCTAAATAAAATAAAATTTTAAATAACTGTGAAAATTAAATGTAAACTTTAAAAAATTTAGAGGTCGAAAATGTAATTTCTAAATTAAATAAAATTTTAAATAACTGTGAATAGTGATCATTAATCAGTCATATATGATATTTATGTCTCGTATTTTTGGATTTTTACGGGATATAAATGTTACATTTACATACTCTAACATTCACGGATCCCATTATTGAAATGGGTAGACTCTTGATTGAAAGGATGAAGATGAAAACCAAGCATTTCATTGCATTGCACTTGAGGTAAAGGCCACTCTGTTATTAATTGTTATTCACATCGTCTTTAGGTACTACCGTCTCTTTTAATTGCCAATAATTGACGAAATTCCGCTACTGCAATGGTTGTATATTCTGCGTTATTATATTAAAAACTCCTAATAATTATTTTTCCTGAAAAATAATCTCTTAGCAGATTTATTAGAAAAATACCCCTAAACTGCCATGTAAGATGATCTCGCGTTCTACAAACAGCGAGGTTAGACATCGCATTTTACAAAAAAAGCAATTTTCATGCATTTATTATTGTTTTTATCTAATATTAAATGACTTTGTCTGAAAAAATTGATGGAACTCGTGCCCTATAAAACACGAGGTCTGTTAAACACGTTTTATAGGACGCGAGATAATCTTACGTGAGCAGTTTGACGGATATTTTTCTAACAAATTTGCTAAGGAGATGCAATCAAAAAAATTCTGGGGTTTTTTTATATAATAATGCCTGTATATTCAATGTCAAATCAGGTGGTCTCAACAAATTTACTATAAAAACAAGAAGGAATTTATTAATGCAGGCCGTTATGTCGTTTCCCATAGGTTCGAACCTGATATGCTCGCATTCACCGAATGTGATTATTGTGGAGGAGAACTGTTAAAATACACATCTTCAAGCATAGCTTCTGAAAGTATTTGAACATATTTATTTTGGCATGAATTGCATTCCAGCAACAAGACAAAGATGAGATGGCAAGAGAGATGCCCCCTAATTCCAGAGGAAATCGGTCTAATGCTGAGAGCATTGGGTTTTGGAAGCGATGTTCACATTTATGTGGCCTCAGGTCAAGAAAGGTTAGCCCCGCTCAAAGCAATCTTCCCTAATTATCATTCAAAAGAGACTATAGCCACTGAGGAGGAGTTAGCACCATTTTCTAAGTTTTTCGGGTTGCATGGCTGCACTTGATTACATTGTTTGCGATGAAAGCGATGTTTTCATCTCGAACAATAACGGAAACATGGCTAGAAAGTTGGCTGGACGAAGGTAGGCAACTTTACATAAACCCCTAACAATTTCATGGGCCAACAAAGTGAATGTTCCTACCCTTAACAAATTCTGATTGACTAACAGAGATCATTCCAGGGAAGAAACAAGCTAATCTATTAACAAGAATTCTGGTAATAGTTTTATAAATCACATAACATCAAGAGATTGGCCTAAAATCTTTAGCCATGAAACCATTCAAGGACTTAGGAACCAAAACAATAGTTGTAGCATTGAAGGCAGATAGCAGGAAGAGGATTGAAAAAAATACCTCACAGCAGCCACGAAGTCATTCTTGACAGTGCTCCAAGTTGCATTGAAAAACCAGAATGTGTAGCCATCAAGACCAGGGCTCTTGTCCATTCCTTGTCTAAACAAAGCCTCCTTTATCTTGAGTGACCTCCCTTCCAAGATCATTCCCAACACCAGAAGGCAGGGAATAATTCAGAAACCCTCTAAGGCACTCCACAGAACATCCCTTAATCTCAGAGTCAGCAGAGCCAATAAGATTAGTGAAAAAATTCACTAACTCGACAGCCATGTCAACAAAAGACTCTCAAACCTTCCCATTCTCATCTTTAATTGCTCTGATGGTGTTCCTCTTCTTATTACACTCTATCCTAGAATGAAAAAACTTGGTACTCAAATCACCCTCATGAAGCCAATGAACCTTGGCTTTTTGCCTGAAGAAATCAGATTCAACAGTTTTTAATTCAACAGCTCAAACTGAGTCATTCTGACCTCTTCTAGCATCCTGATCAACATGAGTGAGATTAAAGATCTGAACCTACTCAAGCTCAGCCCTTTTAGCAAACACTCTACCAGAAATATTAGAGAAATAGGCCTTATTTAGCTCCTTCAACTTAGGCTTAAGCCTCTTCAACTTAAGGAATAAGCATTGCATAGCATTACCAACATTATCTTCCTACCAAAACTCCTTCACAATCCTCTGAAAGTTCTCATTAGAAGTCCAACAATTAAAGAACTTAAAGGGTTTAAGCCTATTAGCCTGATTATCCTTCTGAGACCACACAATTTTGGACAGTGATCAGAAACACCCTAAGCCTTGAACTCAACAAATGACTCAGGGAAATCAAGAAGCCATTGAGAGTTGGTTAACACCCTATCAAGCTTTCGAGTCAAGAAGTTACTCTCTTGCCTATTGGATCAGGTCTATAAAGGGCCAAGAAAAGGATAGTCTTAAGGATGGTCCATAAGACTCATATCCCCAAGACAGCTTTGAAAGTCATCCTATCAATAGTACTATGCAACCTCACTACATCAAAATAAGACCTTTCATCAGGAAAAAATATTTTTTAATAATAATACCTTTTTATAATTAGAGTAATCGAAGAGAGCTTTAACTTTGGGGTAAGAATGATGATTCATCTAAAACTCCACTTTATTTCATAATTAAAGTCAAGTTTAGCTGCCACGCATCTTAATTGATTGAACAAAACTACTGGAAAAAGGGGAAAACTTAATGACTCATCCAGGACTTGGAGGCCAAACTTGTAGTTTAAAGATAATTTTCAAACTTTTTTGACATTGATCGCTAGTGTTCGAATTTGGGTTTTCAAGGAATTACAATAATTCTATTATGACGGATGCCACTTTAGTTAGTGCCATTTATTGTCTTCGACATAAATTGATATATTTATTTTGAAATATATAATTGAATTAAAAATAAAATTGTGTATGTACACTTGAACCCAAAATAATACTAATAAATAAAAACTGTCGCAAGTAAATGTAATTAAAGACAGAACACCAAGTAATACGGGCATTTTGAAGTCTTGTTTCAACATAAGAAGCAGGCGGTCCTCGACCTAGTGGTGTTCCGGTCTTCAAGGCCTTCGAAGAATGACCTGACTGCTAGACGGTCTGACGCGTATGTCATGAACGACGCTAATACAATCCCTTCAACAACCATGAGAGCCAACCTGGTGCAGAAAAAAGTGACGGATCAGGAAGATTAGTAAAGACTAGTTCAAGACAATGAACAAGCTTATCTTGGTAGAAGAAATTACATCCATAATCGATCAGTGATCCCGAATATGTATGGTACTGATGGGACTGCAACAGACAACAAAACCATTCCCAACCCATAAGACCAAGTAACAATATCACAGGAGGATGCCTGTCGTTGATAACCTGTAATGAATATAAGAAAATTGTCAACCAATGCCTACAGGAATATGCATTTGGGCAAAGTAAACTGACCTTTTCTTGAATCATAATCGAAAGAATCTGTGCGAGAAGCAATTGGTCCCGATTGGTTTGCTGTTTTCCCCCACTGATAAACCAAATGAAGAAAAGCTCCGAACAGAAGAAAGAAGATTGTGAACGTCAACTCATACGTCAAGAGCAAACCAGTCCACGGCGTCACTTGCCGAGGCACGATCGAAATTGAAATTGCGAGGGACACCACGAAAGAGGTTAAACATACGAAAACTGAAACTGCACTCAAGTACGCAGGCACCTAACCAACCAATACAAGTGACAAATTAGCATGTTTAAATCGATTCCAGTAGACAAACCATAAAGAGAGGACCCTAAAAGTAAAGAGGGGAAACTCACTTCACTGTTGGGGTTGGTGGTGGTAGATGAAGAAACACTAGTGTAAGCAACGGTTCCACTCGACCCCAGTATATGGTAAAGGTGTCTGATCTTATTGAACAATGAAGTTTTGAAATGCAAGCCCCCAATCTGCAACAATAAGGTAACATGTTTCAGAACAGGAAAGCAATCATCTAGGCATGAATTTCGGGAAAGCATAACCATGTGCCACTAACCTGACGGAAGGCACGATAGAAACAAAAAAGTAAAGCGCAGACAGGAAAGAGGGAAAGGAATTTGACTCTAAGCTCATCATTAGGATTTTTGCCCCCTCCAGTTCCAGGAAGGGATTCATCAAGCTGTTCCCTAATATTCTGCAGCATCAGCAAACAGATTACATTGACATTTGTCCTAGTTACAGCAAATATATTATATCTGAAGGAATTCAATAATACCTGCCAGACACCAACCGGTTCCATGAGCCAATATGTCCACCAATCCCAGGGTTTAAAGGGGCCAATCGTATAGTGAATTACACGAAAATCACTCTTATCTACCTTCCACTGCAAAAAATAATTCAAAAAAGAAGATATCAATTGTACAACAGCCTAAGATGAAGTTCAGACCATAATGTTCATGTCAAATGAATGTACCTTGTTGTTAATGAAGGAGAGACCAGCATCTGCATTGTATAGAATAGAGAGTCGCTCCATCTGGGGTGCAGGACGGGATTTCATTACCTCCTCGGGTATATTAGGGTCGAAAAGTTGAGCATTCGGGAAATTAGAGTAATAAGAAGTAAGAAAACCCTGATCCCCTCCGGTGTAAGAATACAAAGTATCGACTTTGCTCAGCATGTCCTTGAAAACCGCATCCGACGGTTCAACTACCAGGACTCCTGCATTCATCCTCTCGGAATGCTTCAAATTCGCACAGAATTTCTGGCATTTAAACACCTCTTCAATGTTTTTGACTACTATGGTATCCGCGTCAAGATACACAACTACACAAGCAAACGCCCAGTGTCAATTCACTAGAAAAAAACATCCACAGAGAAAGAATAATGGATTCAAAAGAGAAGAATAGCTAAAGAGAAAAGGTGGCAACAATTAAAATACATAATTTTACAAATATACTTTTTTCAGTCTATTTTTAAATCCAAAATTATATAAGATGTTAATTTCATAAACTTGATGATTAACTACCAGGGATGGAGCCAGGATTTTAGTTCAAGGGATAAAGTATAATTAACAATATAAAATAAGGGACAAAAATCAAAATAAATCAAAATTTAAAGATCTAAAAAAATAATTATTCCTATATTTTTTTAATGATAAAATTAATTGGGGCTGCCCCCGGGGCCTACATAGCTCCGTCCCTGTTAATGATAGAACCATTAATGGTATATAATTAAATTTTACAAATACAATCATCCTTCAGCTAAAATCCTACAGCATTCGTTTTAATCGGCAAAGATGAAGTACAAATAAATGGAAAAGATTTACCTTTGTTGTAGGTAGTCATATTATATATTTTCAACTTGGTGTAAACACCCCAATATCTCTTTGCCCGAGCTTGATTTGGATTTTTCAATAAACTCGTCGGCTCCACTATCCACCCATCAGCCTGCCCATTAATCATCAACCACCAGAGAGTTAAAAGATATTTCAAATCTTAAACCACGACAATCCATAAATATCTGTCTGTAAATTAACAGATCATTCATTATAAAGCTCATAACTTTGGTTAGAGAATGAATTGACTTTATAGTTGACCTTAAAGGGCAAAAAACAGAAAGTAACTAACTTTGAGAAGTTAAAGGATGGTGTAAGTTTACCTTAAGAAGCTCCTTGGAATAATCAGAGACGCCATTTGTGACCAAAGCCACCATGTCTTTAGTTGTTCCGGTGTCCCTTATCGATTTGCCTAAAACCCTCGCCCCGAGAACGTACTCGTCCCCGAAAAGCAACGTCACGTAAGCTTGTTTCGATGAAGACTGAGGCTCAATCCCCAACGCCGCCGCCTTCGATTGGATGGCAATCAGAGCGACCAGAAAAAGAACAGAGATCAGCTTTGTTAATTTCATATTATTGGGATTTTCAGTTATCGAGAAAATGAGTTTTTCCCGTTTTTAGGCAGCCATTACAGGGAGAATATATAGAAATGGGAACTCGTGGGAACCAAACATCTTCGGTATTGATCTTATAAGGAAAAGTCAACAGGAAAAACAACCATTGATGATGCCATTGCCGTGTAAGGAACATTGGAAATGAATAACGTGATGGTTACCTCGAATATACTCGAGCGGTTTGTTCTTTTTTTTAAAAAAAAACCTTTTTTAATGTGGTATGCTTGCAGTCAGTCGCCTCCTGTAATTATAGAAGGTCAACTACGTAACTAAAAACTGATATTTATGTTTTGATATTTTTTATTGATTTTAAAAATATAATATATAATTACTTTTATCTTATTTAATTAAGATATAATTATTTTTATTTTTATCTAATTGAGATGTAATCATCATCAGATCTGATTAGGGGGAGTGTCATGAGCGGGTTTGGGCCCTATTTTTTATCTTTATAATTAGGTTCTTAATTTTTTAAATCTTATTTTTCACCTTTATAATTGAGGTCACAATATAATTCAATCTAACTTTTTATCTTTATAATTAAATCTCTAATTTTTTTAATGTTTTTTTACCTGAGACCCCTAATTTTGTAATCTCACTTTTAACTTTCAAGTTAAGACCTCTAAGTTTTTTCAATCTCAATTTCTACATTTATAATTGAGGCCCTTAATTTTCTAATCTCACTTTTTTAATTTTATAATTGAGGCCCTTAAGTTTTTTTAATCTCATTTTTTAACTTTCTAATTGAGGTCCCTAAGAATTTTTTATCATTTATAATTGAGGCCCATATTTTTTTCAACCTCAATTTCTACCTTTATAATTAAGGTCTCTAATTTTTTACTATTTCATAAAATTCTCAATTTCTCTTCCCTTTCTCCGTCTCTCTCGTTAATTCATTTAATTTTGAATTAAATCTAATTATATTTGGCTCTTTTTTTTTACAAATTTTATTTTTCATTTTACCAAATATTCTTTAATTTCTAGCCTTTTGCAATCACAGTTAAATGATAACATAATATGTTATTCTTTATTTTTTTAATTTATTATTCAAAATAAAGCTCCTTATCATAATTTATATCGACATTCGATTTTTTTTATTCTATTAGTTGTATTTAAGATGTTTTCTTAACAAAACAATAAAATTAATATTCGAAAAAGTTTAATAATTTTTCTACGATATTAAATTAATTGTTTAAAGTAATGAAGTATATTTTCCTTCAATCAGGGACTATTTTTTATTTTCACTCAGGGTCTCGAAAATACTCGAGATGGCTCTGGTCATCATGGGTTATTTGTCGTTCACTAGGTGACATGGTATTTTAGTATAATCACACATTTAGTCTATGTTATTTACATATTCTCTCAATTTAGTCTTACTTTTAGTAAATTAAAATAAATTTCACCATCCAATCGACTGGTGTCATGTATCGTCATTCGTTGGAGGACGAACTTGATTTTCATTTATTTTGAATTTAATATATTTATTTTAATTTATTCGGTTGGTGAAAAATAAATATATTAATTAAAAAAATAAAAATAAAGTTAGCCCTCTAATTGAAGGGTGACATGTGACATGACACGTGATACTAGTGACAAGTGACATCATTCGATTGGACGATTAAATTTAATTTAATATATTAAAAGTATGATTAAATTAAGAATATATAAATAACAAAGATCAAATATATGATTATACCAAAATATTTAACAAAAGGTAACTCGTGATGCCTATATCTTAATTAAATAAAACGAAAATGACTATATATTATGGGGATGTTTGGCAAACAACTTATAGCTGATAGTTGGTAGCTGATTCTAGTAGTTGGTTTGATCGATTAATTTGATTAGCTAATTTAAGAATCTGATTTGATTAATTGTTTATATAGAAGTATTTGGTAAAATTTAGCTGATAGCTAATATGGGTAAAATGACAAATAAAGGTATGATACATTTAGTTGTTAAGTACATATATGTTTTATAATATTTTAGTCTTTACTGGAGTGAAACTATTCAGATAAAATGCTTTTGACAATAAATTAAAATTTCCTTAAGAAAATTAGTGAATATTTTTGAAAATTTTGAATGTATTTTTAAAATTTAATATTTACAAATATTAATCTTGCGAGATTGATACATACTATTAACTTTGTATAAAATATCAACATTAATTTTTTTTACTTTTATGTTTTGTTATATTTTCTTAACTAAAATATATTTGAGAATTTACAATTGAAAAATAGAGTAATAAAATAAAATTTCACTAAAATATATTAGGATGGAGGATATTTCATTATATTAGCTTTTATGGTAATGATGTAATTATAGAAATAATAAGGTCAAATATGTTATTTAACATATTATTTTGCAATAAACTCTCTCAAACCGCTGAATTTTCTAGTGTTTTCATTTTCAGCTTATTTTGTAAAATAAATTTTTTTTTTCAAAAAAGTATTTACCAAACACTAAAAATAGAATGTTTGACTACTAATAAGTTATTTATGCTTAAATAAACTAAAAACTCTTTAAAAAACTATTTGCCAGACACCTCTATATTTTCTGAAATTAAGGAAGAAAAATACAAACCTATTATGAAATTGATAGAGAGTTGGAGCTTGTCTGGCAGCTTCTCAAATTTTATACAAAGTAGTGAGGTTTCCGTTTTGAATTGAATAAATTCGTAGAAAAGTAAAAGAGAAAATTCGGGTTAATACTGAAACCATCTAGAATTGATGCAAATGGAATAACGGTGTTAAAATGAGATGATGCTATCACGTGGTAAATAGAATAAGAAACCAATAAATAGTAGTTAGTAGTTAGAGCAACTCATGTGGGAAGTTATATAGTACGACAGTCTTAATATAAAATTAAAGAAAGATATTATATATTTTTTTATATTTTTTTAACAAGATCGATAAAAAATTATTTAAAATATTATTATTTTTATCTAAAACATTAATATTTTTTAATATTTCCGGTAAAGTATCTAATAATAACAAAAGCGGTAGAAAAAATAACAAAACCGATAGCGTTTACCGGATATGTTAACAAAACAGTAAAGCGGCCAATAATAACAAAACCGGTAGAAATATTAATATTTCCGGTAATTTTTTACCAATCCAGTTAAAAATTAATAACAAAACCGATAATTTATTTCTTTAATCGTATATTAAGGTTGATGCAGGTGAGACTTGGTTAATAAATAAAAATATAGTGCTTTAATTTGAAAGCCTCGTAATCTTTTTTTATTAATGGGATCCTCATAATTTTTAACAGATAGACGTGGATCGGCATATTCCTCATTTATTTTGTGGATACGTGATCGATTCCGTTTAAGTTCAATTTCCTCATTTGTTTTATTGTATTTGGATCAAGTCAAATACAACAACTACGTTAATGATTTTACTTTGGATCTTAGTATGATTACTAAATACAATAATTTTATTTCAGTCTTGAAGACAAGTCTTTGAAAGTATACTCTCATCATATCCATGAATAGATTAATCGGCATATTATATAATTCATTTGAATATTCGTAATTACAACATTTAGTGGAAAGATAGATAAGGTCAATGAACGTAATGTATTCATTTTTATATTTATAAAAAAAATTATTTAAATCGATGAAAACTTATAACGTGGAATTATCGATGTCAATGCTTGAGTCGGTTCAATTTGATGAATGATTATGTAACTTATTATTAAATTTATTTTATTAGATGATTAAAATAGGATTAATCTAAATTCATAAATCAAGACGGAATAGATGTTTAATAATATGTTATGATAATTTATTTGATCTTTTATAACTAAGAATAACAAAAGGTGAAGTAATTAACAACCGGTTGGTATAGTGGTATGAGACATTAGATCCCTTAAGTAAAATTTGGTGTCTAAATTTTAATTGAAGTTAAACGGATTCAATTAAAATATTACAATTTATAGATTAATTTTATAATTCACCTGATTAGTTTATGCTTAAGAATCGATTAAGAAAGAAAACTCTAAGTCATATATGGCGAACAATGATATTTACATACTCTCTACAAGTAAACGTATAATTTGAGTTGGGATGGACCCATCAAAATAGGAAATTTCTCAGCTATCTCCTCCTTGGAAGACCATATCATAACAAGTCAGAGTGTACATTCTCATTGATTATACCCATTTTGATCAGAATTTTCAAAGAACTATTGCAGCCAAACTGGACTGGAAGATTCGTTTAGGTCATAATGCGGTTACGGATAGATTTACGTGTTTATCCCAAGGCTCACCGTTACCGGAATGTTTTACTGCTCCACCAGATCAGGTGCCGGAACTCCTCCATTTGGATCAGCAGTGCTTGGTGCTATAGAAAAAGTAAATTTTTATTCACTTTTTTATTCTTTTTGTAGAAATCTTTTGCATGTGATCAAGAGCATGAGACACTATCAATCACGTGTCATCTATTACATCCCATGTGCATTATGATGGTATTATACATGAAACTGAGTATTATATTATAACAACAAATATATCTAATGAGAAAAATTTACATTTCTATTTAGACGAAATTTACTGCAATATTTTACAAATCAACTCTTGTGATTAAATTAGCATCAAATAATTAAAAAAAGCTGTTATGATTAAATGTTAAACAGCACAGATTTGAAGAAAATTGCAGAGCTGGGAAGTAATAAGATCATTTTGAAGCCCTGCTTTCAACAAAAGAAACATGCAGTCCTCGACCGAGCGGTGTTCCGATCTTCAAGACCTTTCAAGAAAGACCTAATTGCTAGATGTTCCGATGCATATGTCATGAACGACGTTAATACAAACCCTCCGACCACCATCAGACCCGACCTGGTTCGAAAATAGTCATGGACCATGAAATTTGGCAACAACACTGTCAATAAGCAAGACTACTTGAAAATAAATTTTCAAACCATTTCTGGTTTCCTCCAGTGTCAACCCAGACTTGAACATACTGTTAAAAGAAGATTAACTTGGTCGAACTTACCTCGGGAATAGAGC